AAGCAAGAGGAGAATAATTGATTGAGTTTCTTACTGTCACATGTATTGTTTGAACTAAGATGTATTAAGCATGCAAAGTACTCTTGTATTGGGTTGTGATGCTAAGTAATGTGAACCTTTTATATTGGGTTGTGATGCTAAGTACTGTGAACCCTTTATTTTGTGAAAATTCATGTTGATCATAATTGGTACTTTCTGTGTATATTGCCCTGATAATTGATGCCCCTATTTTTCCTCATATCACAACCCTGGTAATTGATAGCAAAATTTTTGAAATAATTTTGATGCCAAAATTTGTGAATTTAATTTTGAAATAATTTGATTGGTAGCAAAATAATACACGTATGTGAATTTAAATATGCATCAATTCAAAATAATATTGTGTGAGCAAACAATACAAAATGATGTTGTTTGAGAAAAAAGGTTGCCCAGGGATAAGATTGTCTTTTCATACAACTTAACGGAGAGAAGTTAACAGCAGTATGGCTGTGATGGCATTTCTAGAAGAAAAACGCTTGTACGATGGCATTTTGAAGAAGTTGCGCTTGTCAATGGTATTTCGGGGATTAGAGTGCTTGTCAATGGCATTTCATGGATTTTCTCTTTTTTTATTATAGTACAATTAAAATGTAGTATATTGTGCACTCGCTGCGTGCACGCAGTTGCGCATCCTACCCGCATGGCTTGATTTGCAGTTGATATTGAACAAATACCAAGCGATGGCTATCAAATTTCCACAGCAGCCGGTTAAATTTCAAGGTCATTGTTCGTCGAAATTTTGAATTCAAATTTTTAGATTTGCGAATTCCCTCACCTAGAATAAAATTATACATGACTGTGATCCTTCCCTCACATGAAACGAAAACGCTAATCCGCGACCAGTCGCGCTTGTCCTCCTAAGCGCGACTGGACACGTGTCGTGCGCGGAGAGGAGAGGCGGATGGCACGTGTACGTACAGTTGCCCCTTTTTTTTTTCTGTTTTCTTGTGCGGACGGCGCGCGTGTACGGTTTCCTTTTTTTTCGTTTTTTCTGTTTTCTTCCGTATTTTCGGTTTCTTTTTTTCCTTTTTTTCTTTTCGTATCTTTTTCAGTTTTTTTTTATAATACATACGTATACAAACTTTATATATGTGTAAAATACAAACTTTATATATGTGTACTTTTTAGATTTTTATATGTACGTATACAAAGTTTGTATACACGTATTTTTTAGGTTTTTTATACACACAAAGTTTATATACATGTATATACATATACTACTACACAATACTATATAGTAGTACCGGTCGCCCATTAGACACACCCCACATGAAAGACTTTGTCTTCCTGCACGACACCTGTCCAGCACAAATCTCAAAGCAGTCAGCATCTCTCTCTTCTCCAATCCCCATTTTGTTCTTCGATTTGCTCGGCAAGACGGAGCTTATGCATGCCTACCACTGTAGGCGTGGCAGCGGCCACCAGCTTTGAGCTACCTCACGTACTTGGCCAGTAGACAAGTAGGAGTAGATGGTTAAATGTTAGAATGGTTAGATGTTGCTCTCGTTGCTTTAGTTTCAATCTCCATTACAGATAACACTAGTATACAAAAGATTTTCCTGGATAAGGAGATCCTATTTATCTAGACGGACCGTTTTCGAGTGCGTCCGCAAAAATCGGCCTCTCATTTTCGCTTGCGGATCCTTAAGAGGCCCGCACGGAAAAATTGATTTTCACATGTGATAAGAGGTCCGCCAACAAGTCTATCAATCCTCCTCTTTTCCCTCCTCAACACTTCAAATTTTCATCCTTATCCTCTCACCCCCTCTCACTCTCTCACTCTGTCTCCTCTTTCCCTCTCCTTCTTCGGTTCTCCTTCTCTCTCTCCACATGGAGCAGCAGAGGCTCGATGAAGGTGTCCGCCGGCTTCAAAGAGGGAAGAAGGGGCCTAGCGCCTCTCCTCCACTCGCCCTCGTCGCTGCCTCGACAACGACGACGGCTAACCTCGGCGAGCTCGGGGGAGCCATGGCCGAAGAGCTCAGGGGAGATGGATCTGTCGCTGGCAGGCTCGGGCGGGCTTCGAGGGAGATGGATCTGTCGCTGGCGAGCTCATGGGAGGCAGATCCGTCGCCGGCAAGCTTGTGGGAGGTGGATCCATCGCCGACAGGCTCGGGGGAGGTTGATCCGTCGCTGGAGATATTGGGGGACGTCACCGGCGAGCTTAGGGCTGGCCGATCCATCACTTGCAAGCTCGAGGGAGGGCGGTCCATCGCCGGTAGGCTCAGGAGACAATGGCCGGATCCGCGCCGCCGCCGGATTCTAGGTTTCCTTTTTTTTGAATTTTTACTTTTTAGGAATTTTATTTTTTCGTGCGGGCTGCATAACTCGACCGCACGCGAAAATCCGATTATCCTGTACGGTCCACTTAACCCAACCACATGGGAAGATAGATTTTTCCGTGCGGTTGGGCTGCCCGCACACGAAAATATTGATTTTCGCAGATACTTGGGTGCAAACGGGTGGGACCTTTGCACGGAAAAATACATTTTGACCGCACGGAAAAAATATTGTGTACTAGTGTAATCGTTGGTGGTCATTGAATTTATCCAAACCTTTGAGGATTCTTTTTGATAACGAGCTTTGCTCGATTACAAGCTGACAGCCCTTCTCAACAAGAGGCTTGGTGCTGCAAATGATAATTAGATTGTATTATCACCGTCACGTGAACTCTTGAATAATGACTCATTGTGAACAGACAACGAATTGCGGCAAGGCATGGCGCATGCCCTCGATGTCGCACTCTCCCGGCAGCCGTCCATAAGCCCGATTTCTGCTCACCGCCATGGCCACGTTGGTCGGCTCAAGCTATACCTTGTCAGTTGTCGCTGCTGAGGATGAAGGACGGAAGGAAGAAGAATGGGGATTGGGAGGGGAGCGCCTGCTTGCGTTGAGATTGGTATGGACAGATGTCATGTAGGGACATGAAGTTTTTCGGATGAAGGACTTGGGTCCTACGTAATTTTCTTCCCCCTTATCTCGCTGGGGTCTAATTTTAACCCGAAACTAAATTGTAAGCTCTGATCTCTAGGCACATTAAATGCAACATTTTCACTTCGGTCAGCAAAGGCAATGGTTGGGTTTGTTTCGATCTTGAGAAAGAGCAGTTCCAGCATTTTTGTTTGACACGGTAACAAGCTGATTTTATTAACCAGCTTCTCCAGGCAAATCGCCGGAGACCAAAGCAGTTACAAAACCCGGGGCTTGGTTCCAAAAACAGGGAGAACCATTGGCCCCGGTACCCACACCAAAAGAGGCCAAACAATCAGACACTTTGTTACAAACTCTAGGGCAAACCACAACTTCAAAACTACTAAAATTTGTCATAAGGAAAGCTGAAATCTGCTTAAGTAGAGCTCCATCCAAGCTTCGATCCAAGTCCTTTGAGTTCAGCGCCTTCCCCAGATTGCTAGCATCTGTTTACACTGTAATTCTTGTCATCCCGAGCTGAGCAATTCTCATCAAACTCCATTGCATTGCCATGGCTTCAGCCTGAAGAGCAGAACTTGCTCGTGTGATAGAACCCGCGCCCGCCTCCAGCACAGCGCCTGAAGAATCCCTAACAACAAATCCCTATCCTCCCGTCCCCGTTTCTGGGAAGAACGAGGCGTCAACATTAACCTTGTAGAACCCATCTGCTGGTGGCTTCCATCTCTACTCAGGGATTGTGATTTCGTTAAGTCTTCTTCCTTTGTTTATCTTGTTCGGCAATATGAAACTCCACATCTTTGCAAATCTCAGTTGGGGGCATATGTCTTTCTTCCGCATTAATCTTGTTTTGTGCTGACCACCACTTCCAAAGAAGAGTGATTACCTTTAGCCTTTTCTCCTCAACAAAATCCCAGATTTTATTTAGAACTTCTTGCCCTGACCTGCATTTTCCCAGAAGCACTCTTTCCTCTTCCAAATTCAACATTTGCCAATAATTGTTCACTCCCTTGCAGTTGAAAAAGAGATGGCAGCTGTTCTCATCTAACCTTTTGCATACTGGGCAGATTGTATCAAGTTTGACACCCATGCGAGAGAGATTACATCTCAGTGCCAAACTGTTATGGGCAAATCTCCACAGAAACAACTTCACCTTATTAGCCACTTTGCAATCCCAGATCTTTTTCCAGTTGAAATTCACCCCTGTGCAGTCTCCCCCACCAGATGAGGATGCTTCTTTGCCACTTCTAGCATCTTTGTTCTGTATCGCCACTTTGTAGGCCGATTTAACTGAAAAAACCCCTTTTTGGTCATAGTGCCAGGCAGCCCAGTCCTCATGCCCTTCATGTGTTTGGATCTTGAGAATGTGCTCCACATCTTCCTCCCAAAACGTGTCTCTGATAAGAATCTCATCCCATGAACCATCAGCTGGGTCAATTAGTTCAGACATCTGAGTGAGAAGGGATTATCTCCTTGGTGTTATTGGTCTTCTAGTTCTATCCCTTGGGATCCAAGGGTCCTTCCAGATATTCAAAGACGATCCATCCCCAACTCTCCAAATGATACCGTCCCTGAGCAAATCAACACCTCTCATGATACTTCGCCAGGAGTATGACATTCCATCTTTCACTGAAGAGTTCAGCAAATTACCATTAGGGAAATATTTCGCCTTCAGCACTCTAGCACGGAGGGTGTCAATGTAAAAAGGAGAAAAAAAACCCTAAATCACTCTCGCACTCACGATACAGCAGTTCCAGCATTGTTTAGCAAGTAGAGGCATTTGATAAAAAGGAGAAAAAAAACCCCTAAATCAGTTATGCATTACTCTCTTTGTTTCAGATTATTAGTCGTTTTGATTATGATCAAAGTCAAACTGTTTCAAGTTTGTAAAAAAAAATATAGTAATATTTTCATCTCAAAACAAATATATTATAAAAATATAATCAATTATAAATTTAATAAAACTAATTTGGTGTTGTAAATATTACTATATTTATCTACAAATTTAGTCAAATTTGAAGTAGTTTGATTTTAACTAAAGTTAAAAAAAAGAATACTTATTTGGTGACCCCATTTATGTAATTTGTTTGCCGTAAAGAACTCTACCTAAGCAATCAAGATGACAAGATCGTTCCAACTCTCTTTTCTTGGCGAACAAACTTATGCTTCTTATGCATGCTCGATTTGATGACACCTAACCTAGCCGCCTCTGTGGAAGTCATTCCGTTGTCAAAATAATCCAAAAATTAATGTTAGGTAGCCCCCAAAGGTAAAGATAAACTGTACTACATATACAAATCTACCCACACAACTAGTAGCATTAAGCACTACGCATCAAACAACAGCTGAACTGTTGAGTCCCAAGAAGTCAAGAACCCAAGGTGTTCGACCATGTGTTCGGCGGCAACACCCAACTCCGGCGACGTCCGTGCTACCCCAGGATCATCGCGGCCGCACGTCGTCCTCCTACCAAGCGCCGGCATGGGCCACCTGGTTCCCTTCACCCGCCTCGCCGCCGCGCTGTGCTCCGGCCATGGCTGCGACGTGTCCCTCGTCGCGGCCGTGCCCACCGTGTCGTCGGCCGAGGCACGCCACCTCGCCGCGCACTTCACCGCGTTCCCCGCCGTTCGACGGCTCGAGCTCGACCTCGCGTCCCTCGACGTGTCCGAGTTCGCCGGCGCCGACCCGTTCTACGTCCGTTACGAGGCCATCCGCCGGTCGGCGTCGCTCCTGGCGCCGCTCCTCGCCGGCGGCGCGTCGGCGGCGGCGTCGGCGCTGGTCGCTGACATCGCCTTGGCCTCCGTTGTGATACCGGTGGCCAAGGACCTCCGCCTCCCGTGCTACGTCTTCTTCACCGCCTCCGCCACGATGTTCTCCTTCCTCGCCTACCTGCCCACCTACCTCGACGCCAACGCCGGCGGCGGGCACGCCATCGGCGACGTCGACGTCCCCGGCGTGTGCCGCGTTCCGACGTCATCCGTCCCGCAGGCGCTGCACGACCCGGACGACATCTTCACCCGGCAGTTCATCGCGAACGCTCGCAGCCTCGCGAACGCAGACGGCCTCGTCGTCAACGCGTTCGACGCCCTGGAGCCGGAGGCCGTCGCGGCGTTGCGGCAGGGAACCGTCGCCGCCGGGTTACCGCCGGTGTTCGCCGTTGGGCCACTCAGCCCGGCGCCCATTCCGGCGAAAGATTCAGGCAGCTACTTGCCGTGGCTCGACGCGCAGCCGGCGCGGTCGGTGGTTTACGTCAGCTTCGGCAGCCGCAAGGCGTTGCCAAGAGACCAGCTGAGCGAGCTCGCCGCCGGGCTAGAAGCAAGCGGCCACCGTTTCTTGTGGGTGGTGAAGGGCGCCGTCGTGGACAGAGACGACGCCGGCGAGCTCACCGACCTGCTCGGAGAAGCCTTCCTGCAGAGAATCCATGGCCGTGGCCTCGTGACCATGGCGTGGGTGCGTCAAGAGGAGGTCCTGAACCACCCCTCCGTCGGTCTGTTCATCAGCCACTGCGGGTGGAACTCGGTGACGGAGGCGGCGGCGAGCGGCGTGCCGGTGGTGGCGTGGCCGAGGTTCGCCGACCAGCGGGTGAACGCCGGCGTGGTGGCGCGCGCGGGGATCGGCGTGTGGGTGGACACCTGGAGCTGGGAGGGGGAGGATGATGGGGTGGTGAGCGCGGAGGACATCGCCGGGAAGGTGAGGTCGGCGATGGCCGACGAGGGTGTAAGGAAGGCGGCGGCGAGCGTCCGTGAGGCCGCGGCGAGGGCGGTGGCCGCCGGAGGGAGCAGCTACCGGAGCTTGGCGGAGTTGGTGCGACGGTGCCGTGATGGGCTTGTCATCACGAACGGAATGTGAGAGAAGCGAGGAGAAGACGGAATGGGCAAACGTCCAAACGAAATGGCAGCATCTTCAAGCATTGTCAGTCAGTCACCACAGTCCACAGGTGGTAGGCTCACATCATAAAAAACCTTTTTGTTCCATGATAAGCACACATGCACGAGATGTCACCAACAATTTCAACCAAAATTATCAACCCAAATAGTATTTCAACCACTAGAGGTTATCCAAAATAAAGCTTTGTGGTTGTTATTTGTCCAGATAGTTGGGGGAGGGGTATAATTCTTTATTTCAATTATGTCAACTAGCTGGCCGGTCCGCGCAATTGCGTGGCTAACATCTAAACAAAATCATATATATTTTTCAGTATGATTTTACTTAGCATTTATTAAAAACTATTCCGTTGTCTTAAGACTTTTTTTTACCAAACCTTATCATCTCCGTATTTCTAATTATGTAGTTTTTAAAAGTCACACCAGTTGCTACCCCTTACTTCTATCATATCTTTTTTATTTGCTTGCTCGATTTACCACTATTTCTATTCATTCTCCTTTAAACCTTTAAAAATTGGATCTTATAGTTTTTAGAGTTTATTATCTCGTTGGGTTTAGTTTATATAATTTTTAGAAGTTCCGTCAAACGCTGTCATTATACTCCTCTACGTCCAGTCTATTGTCTTTTCTCTTTATTGCCATTGGGATTTTAAAAATCGAACATAATTATCGTTCGGGTCCATTTTTTACTTTCTAAAAGTCCCGCCAAACCGTCAGTGGCTTTTCCATTATACTTCTTTATGGCTCACCCGCTGCTTCCCTTCTTGATTGTCATTGTGGTTTTAAAATCGAACATGATTGTCATTGGGTTTTTTTTTTACTTTTCAGAAGTTTCGAACCTTTAAAAATTGGACATTGTAGTTTGTAGAGTTTATGTCTTGTTGTGTTTAATTTTTTATAATTTTTAGAAGTCCCGTCAAACGATGCCACTATACTCCGCCATGGCCCATCTGCCGCCTACTCTTTATTGTCATTGGGATTCTAAAAATCGAACATAACTATTGTTGGAATTCATTTTTTATTTTCTAGAAATCCCACCAACCGTCGGCGGCTTTGCAACTATACTCCTATACACCCCGCTCGCTGCTTATCCTTTTTATTGTCATTGAGATTTTAAAAATTAAATATGATTATCAATGGGGTTTATTTTTTTACTTTATAGAAGTCTTGGCAACCGCCTTGCCCGTTTGCTTCACGGCCTACCTGTCGTCCATCTTTTTAATCGTCATTAGGATTCTATTTGGTGTTTTATTAACAATTTTTATATGTCATATCAACCGCCACCACTCAACTCCTTTTATAGCCCTGTTAGTTAATTTATCTCGTCATGTGTTTTAGACAATCTTTTCTTTCAATAGTCTTTATTTTTTATCACCAATTTTAGTTAGATATAAATTGTATTCTAATTGAAATCTTTTTTTCTTTTTCTAATTTCAGAATTTATTTTTTTAAAAAAAATTAATTAATACCGTATAGTGTTCTTTTAATATTTTTATTTTTTATTTTTGAATTTTAGTTGTTTCAAAATTGTATTCCTACTTGAACTCTCTTTTAATTTTTCTGATTTTGGATATTATTTTATTATGTCTTAATTGTAATTAATCTCGTATTGGTTCTTATATGGATTCTTCCTTAAATATTGTTTTTTTAAATTCCGAATTTTAGTTAATTTTAAATTGTATTCCTACTTGAACTCTTCTTTTCTTTTTGCTAATTTCTGATTTTATTTTTATTTTTATTTCAAATATTAATTAATCTCGTATTAGGTTATTATATGGACTCTTCTATCAATATTCCTTATTTTTAATTCCGAATTTCAGCTATTTCAAAGTATATTCCTACTTGGGCTCTTCTTTTCTTTTCTAATTTTGGATTTTATTTTATTTTGATTAATCTCGTATTCGGTTCTTATATGGACTCTTCTCTCAATATTCCTTATTTTTAATTCCGAATTTCAGCTATTTTAAAATTGTATTGCTACTTGGACTCTCCTTTTTTTTCTCCGATTAATGTGGGAATTTTTAGCCCTCACTGCCAATATGGTGCCTCCTTTCAAAGTTGTCTTAATAATTTAATAGATAGATTAGAAGCTTAGAGAGATTTTTCCTCTAATAAATTGGGCACACAATTCCCCCAATATTCAGGTGTTGTTTCACCTAATGTAGAAAAATATCACCACTAGGTAAAAACAAATTTCAACTTCTAAAACTAGTGTAACATAGCTCATTTGTTGTTGAAACATTCCTCCTTCGTACCCAAAACATCAAGCTTCAACCGTTGAACATCGTCACGAGCAATATACTTTTCATTTTTTTCTTAGAAATATACATGATTGTTAACGACCAAATTTGGTAATGTCATGGGCCGGATTCAAAGTTAGAGCCAAAGCCTATTTGGAGAAAATCCGTTCGAGAAGGCAGAGTACACATCGGCTACTAGCAGCATCGGTTGTCGCATAAATCAGCTACAGGCGGTATCAGCTGCCGCATGTCGGCTAGCGCCAAATCCGACAGGGTCAAGCCGATTCAACCAGTCCCGAAAAAGATGGCCCCACGACTGTCGTCAAGATTTGTCAAAGCACTACACAGCCATTGCCGCACAAGGATTGGAGTCCTAAAAAGGGCAATTGTATATGTTAATTAGGACATTTTCAGTTTCCTTAGGGATATGTTTGGTAAGAGTCCACCAAAGAACTTATTTGTATTTTAAGTTGTGTTAGAGAACTTATTTGTATTTTAAGTTGTGTTAGAGATAAGACTCATGTCCAGAAAGGACATATTATGTACTTCGGGTATAAATATGACCCGACACCTTGTAATCAAGGGACGACAGTTCAATAATACTTCGGCGCATCGCCACCCTTTTCTATTTTCATTATTTCGACGAGATTTTGCTTTTGAGTTGTGCTGCACCAGGTTTGATCTTCGACGAAGAGGTAAAGCTTGTTATGGCGGTTTGTGTTATCGGGATTAGTGCTTACATCTCCATGACACTCTAATCTTGTTTACGTGAATCGCCGAGTTATCACATATACCGCATAATCTAGATCGATCTCGTCATCTAACCCCATCGGCTAGCCTCTATCATCGAAAACGGCTGATAGGCTTAGATGTCGGCGTTAGGCTAGATTATGCGGTGTATCTACCATCTTGAACGAGTTTTCATCGATTTGCTTAGATATTGTGTTTCTTTTCATGCTTAATGCTGCATCGGTTAGGTTCGATCTGTTAAGTACTGCCTTGAAACGCTTTATCTAGCTCTTTCTTTGAATACTAATAGAGATAGTGTCAGAGTTTCAGCCGATGTTACCTGATTTAGTCATCCTGTTTCCCTATTTGGTTCTGGATCATCTAAATCTGCCCTTTATATCAAGATCTCATCCGTTTAAAGCATATTAAACTTCTTATCAGTCTGTTAGTTCACCCTGCTTGTTAGATTGATTCCAATTTGGTATATTTCATCTGTGCTGATATCTTGGTATAAAGTGGTATCGAAGTACTAGCCGATACACGTTAGGCTTGCCCTATTGGCTATGCTGTGAATATGCATAATCCATACTTTGGGGCATATTCAGATATTGAGTGATTTATGATGCCTCGGTGCAACTATTGATCTATCCCAGTCGCTCGATCTAAGCGTGTTCCATTGGACGGATTACATATGGCTAACGTCTACAGCCGATCGAGTAGATCGAACAATCTCCAAATTTTACCCGCCTTTGCCGATCTGATGCAAGTTACATCGGCATGGTTTCGGACGATACATCATCGGCAATCCAGCCGATCGGTTATCATTGATGGATTTAACTCTTTGTCTTTGTTTCTATCTTGTTGGTTGCAAGATCAAACTAGCTGGCACGCTCAGAACCCGAAAGCAATCTCTTTGGACCTGCACTAGAGTTAAACAGATCTCTCAGACCAGTGCGTGCCTTTTACATTAACAATGATGCAAAATTATTTACTTGAATAGACCTTCGTCACGCGAGGGATGAGTGAACTTGTTAACGGCGTCGCTGTGTCCAGAAGCTATTTGGACGGTATCACGGGGGAGTAAAGCAAAGAGGCGAGTTCGCATGAAGAGAGGTTGCGAAGTGGGCACAACATTGCCATTAGGAATCGTGATATCACGACGAAATCGTAGGACCAAAGTGTGATAGTGATGACACCTACATTTTTTTTTCTGACGTAGACACCGATGTTTTCGCTCGACAAGCGCGCGAAGTGTTGGGCACGGAAAAGGTGGTTCTATGGAATCGTGGCTTGGTAGAAAGGGGACGCGGTCTCATGCACGCATCAACGGTTCGACGTGGCTATCAACATCGCGGTCCCTAATAAAAAAGGGACTGTCTATGTGTCACTAGGGTGATAAATTTTGTAAACGCACTAGAATATCCCTGACCATCCGATGCGCGTGATCCCCGCCCACGCGATCCCACCGCGAGTGAGCGCGCGGGTGCGTGTTTTGTTTTTTCCCAGCGATCTTTTTTTTTGGGGTCGGATCTGTTTCCCAAACCCGTTTTGTTTTGGGCCAGATTTTAGCTCATTATTGAGACCTGGGCTAGCATTTGGCCCCGTATAGGGCACAGGAAAAAAAAGCCCACAGCATTTTAGTATTGGAGCCATCACAGCTGAAACATGGCCCAGAACTTAGCGCAGAAAATCAAAACACTTGATTTGAAAATACTTGCCTCTTCCAAAATCTGGATTGATTTGAGTCAAAAAGTCTCTCGTCCCATGGTTCTTATTAGTACTTCAAATATGTGATTAGTTTTCTCCCCCCTTTCTTATTTGATCCCAAACTGAATTGACCCACTGGGTTGTGCCTCATTGATGGAAATATCAATCTAATTTGACAATGTAGATGAATAGTAGTGGAGCATGGGGTTCTGCAGACTGACAAATAAATAGCTTCCTGTTAGCCTTGGAGCATGCAGATTTTAAAACTAGGTGCACAGATATCTGAGCTTTTAACAAAACAAAGTGCACATATATCTGAAAATTATTATCATGTTGTAGGACCTATATCTGAAAACATATATATATGTACTTCTATCACTAGCCAAAAAGCTGAACACATCATTGATCCCCCTGCCCCCCATTGCAGGTTGATTATTTGCTGAAAAAAAAAGAGAGGTTCTACTAGCTGTCAGTATATCAGTGAGAATATAAAAATTACAGAACAGACCTATAGTGCGCATACATAAATCACTATAGATTTGTAGAAACATGTCTTTTCTAACAAAGAAGGGACCAAGACAAAGCTAACCAAATGCCATTTCAGCCATCTAACTATGTGTCTAGTCCAATAAGATAGACAGAAGAAGCAATCAGAAGAACTCCACAAAACTAATTGCTGACAAAGCAGAACTAATACCCATTTTGAACTAACAAAAACAGGAATTCTAATGGCAAACAAAACTACTAATTGCAATATTTTTGACAAAACTTGAAAGTAGAGGTTAAAGTATTTCTGACTAAACTAGCAAAATTAGAAATTCTAATGGCTAACAAAACTACTAATTGTTGTATTTCTGACAGAACTTGAAAGTAGGGGTTAAAGTATTTCTGACTGAACTAGCAAAACTAGAAATTCTAATAGCTAACAAAACTACTAATTGTTGTATTTATGACAAAACTTGAAAGTAGAGGTTAAAGTATTTCTGACTGCACTAGCAAAACTAGGAATTCTAATGGCTATCAAAACTCTAATTGTTGTATTTCTGACATAACTTAAAGGTAGAGGTTAAAGTATTTCTGACTGAACTAACAAAACTATGAATTCTAATAGCAAACAAAACTATTCTCTTTTCTTACAAAACTATGTTTGTTAAATGCAATCATACCTTTTACCTAACTAGGACAGAACCTAGCGATCACCCAACAGAAATATTTTAGTTTTACCCAATTTAGTTAAAACTATATACCTTTTATCTAACTAACGGCTGACAAAACTAATATATTACTTTGCAGGCAAGGACATGCATGGTGAGAGTAACAATGGGTATCCTCCTAACCAACAGTGCCCAACACAAGGCTACATGCCACCGCAGGACAATACCAACCTCCTTGTGGGGCATACCCAATTCCTCATAGGAATTGCCCTCATAGGAATTCCTTGTGGGAAAATATCATAGATAAAACATTTATTAACAAAAAAATATGCATATGCCTCTACTCCACCACACACATGCTGAAATTGAATCGGGACAGTTTCTCCACTGCACACAAGCCAAAAAATTCAGAACAAACACAAAACTACACGCATATTGACAATGATCGGTATCTTCAAACCAGAACAGCTTCTTCCAGGCCAAAAAAATTCAGAGCAAACCAACTACATGTGGAGATTATGGGTACCCCATACCCACACGGCATGGTTATCCGACTAGTCATAGGGGATAACTTATATCTATGGAATATGTAATAGATCATGACTCGGGTATTACGTTTCCTTATATATTACGGAACAGCCTAAAGTCCTGGTTTGATAATATTGTAAAGTAGATTTAGGAAACCGATACCGTATTGGTTAAGGTTTCTATCTTGTAATCCTGCCCCCCACCCTATATAAGGTGGGCAGAAGGCCCTCTAGGGGGCATGAGACAACCTGATCGTCAGATCTATACTACACACTCGGCGGATTCAAATCCCCAAACAGGAGTAGGGTATTACCTCTCATTGAGAGGGCCTGAACCTGTCTAAATCCTTTGTCTCCGCATCCATCCACTTTTAGGTCTCGTACGCTACCCCCTTTTATTATTGCCGAAATCATGTTTCGACAGTTGGCGCGCCAGGTAGGGGCTGCGTCGAGCTTCCTATCAACGAGCGCGATGGAATCAATTTCATGAGTCGCCGACTTCGTTTTCGCTTTGGGAGTTTTCACTTCCTTTCCGTCGACCACTTCTTCAAGCTCCTCTTCTCTGACTTGATCCAAATCAGTCAGGGGGAAACCCAATCTGATTTTTATCATTATTTATTATATTGATTTTTAATCTCAGATTAATCTCTTGCTATTTTTTGTTGTTGTTCGCATATAATTACGCGGCACTATTGAGGCGATTGATGCTGGTCATGGACTCGAGGCGTCTCAGCTTTCCGGTCGATCAGCCGCGAGTCCACTCTGCCGGCTTGTCTTCGCCACCGCCATTGCTGATAACAACAACGACTTCACCGCCGGCCTGCTTCCGTTGCCGCCGATTGGTGCCTCCGCCTACACGGCAGGCCTATTAAGCCGCCGCTGTTGGGCGTCTACGACTTCACCGCCGGCCTGCCTCCGTCGCCGCCGACTGGTGTCCTCGCCTATACGGTTGGTTGGTCACACCACCGTTCATGGGCGTCCACGACTTCACCGCCGGCCTGCCTCCGTCGCCGCCGACTGGTGTCTTCGCCTATATGGTTGGTTGGTCACACCACCGTTGTTGGGCGTCTACGTCTTCACCGCCGGCTTGCCTCCGTCGCCGCCAAATTCAGAACAGGCAGATTTCATTTCAATATATTCCAGCTAGTAAAGATAAAACTAAACTAGTAAACTCTTTATACAAAATTGTACCTGCATCTAACCCACCTCCCCCCTGAACAATACAAAGAAAAAGTCCTTGGCAAAATGGGTTGTGGGAATAGGATGCAAATAAGGAACAAATGTATTCAGGTTGAGCAGAAAAGAAAATCTGGATCTTAATTATAGTTCTCATGCTCCACAAAATCCAAAAGAGGAGAGTTAAAAATATTTGGACAAGAGTTCCCTGGAAAAGAAAAAGATCAGGAAGACAAAGGAGCAGGCATCCACTGTTGCTAACAAAACTACAAAGGAACTTAAATTAGCATAACCTATACTACTGCAAAACAGAACATCCTTTCCTGGCAAGAGTTGATAAAATCAATTATTACAGAACATGCTTAGTAGATAAGGATTTATTTTAGTTTCCTTTATAGCCATAAAGTGTTCTTTTGAAAATTTTAAAGACACATGTAACCGAAAAGACAGTGCAGTATTACTATTAATTAGATTCTTGCCTACAACACTATTCCCATTCATGGAACTCCAATCTGCTCTAAAAAAATGTTGTTGCTCTAAAACCCCTGGTACTGGTGCTCAAATACCCACTGAAAATTTTGAGGACTGCAATAAGAAACTAAATCAGTACTGAAATGCATTTATACATGATTAAGAACTGAGCTACGTAGAAAATACTGACACTCCAAAGAAGATGTTGTCAAAACATGCTAACCTAACAAAGTCAAATCATGAAAATAATCCTAAACTAGAACTGCCATCACAAGATCTTGTCCCCAGTGTCAACCAACATCCAGACAGCCTTCGTGTAAAACAAAAAAAATCCATTCCAAACCAACATATCTAACCCCCAACCTGTTTTTTTGGAGCATTAATACATTAAACAAATACACAGATCAAGAAGAAGGGCAAAAAGATTGAATCAACAAATCAGCGGCAAAACACATACGAAAGAACACATGCTCACCTTGTTTTTTTTATCTTGACGCCTGACCTTTTTGGATCCAAATCAAGACCACCAGCAACTGCCCTGCGATTTAGCGCATGCTTGGTTGATGAACACATAACAACTGTTGTTGCCTTGCCAAGTGCAGGGGAGCGGGGTGCGTGCGCCTCGCCGTCAACCTTGCCGAACTCCAAGCGTGTCTCCACGGCGGTGGCGGAGGACGCCGCAACATGCTCGCTGGCTGAGCCTGGCTGCAGCGATGGTGTCCGGCTTTTAGTCTTTTTGCACGAGCTGGAATCTCCCTGCAGCCGAGGCGAATCGTCGCCGCCAGATTCGCCCCATACCCTCAACGACATCTCAGCAGAGGGCGCCGCGCTGCGCCCGCCGGCTGAGCCCGGCTGCAGCCGAGGAGTTTTGCTGTTGGCCTCCTCCCACCGGTGAGGAGAATCGCCGCCGCCGGATTCGCCCCCTCGCCTCAATGACATCGAGGTGTGGCGCTGAGAGTGGGTAGTTTTGTTTCCAAAAAAAAAATCCCCGCCCTGTGTCGGAAATATCGCAAAATCGTGTTTGGATTGGGTTTGGTCGAAAGCGGGTTAACACAAAACGGATCCTAACCCGACAAAGACTGCGGGCCCGATAACGTTATACGAATCTTTTTTTTTTGAGCGGACGTAATACGAATCTTGATGTCCATCCAAAGGCTAGGAATTTGAGTGTGATTTGGGGAAAAAACACACTGGTGATGTATAGCAAAAACCAATAAAAAAAATCAGTGGGCCCACTGCATTGCACTACCGATTAGCAGACTCGCACGATTAATGAATAAATTAGCACAGCCTTTTTTAATACTATCATTAGCCTACAATATATGGAGATTTACAAATAGACTATAATAAATAAACATGTCTCCTTATGTTAGTTACGGTTTTGTTTTTTTTCTAGTTGGGTGTGTTCTAGCTGTATAGATCTATACTCTTTGATCTACACTCTTTTCTTGAGCTCTTCTATGTAATAATTGGTTGTAGCTCCTTTTAAGCAAAGACCGGGATAATATATTCCATTATCTAAAAAAAATTACTATCATTAGCAATTAATTAACCTCAATTGAGTAAATAATTCTGCATTAGTCACCGGATCGCCAACCATCCATCCATGTAGGTGTCCATCCTCGCACGCCGGCAAAGCGAGATCGCTGGCGCCAATTGGGCCGCGCTCTCTCAGCTTGAAAGAGCGAAGTGGTGCCAGCAGACCTGTGCTTTCACGGATGGAATAAGTTCATCATCTTTAGTCCCTTAACTTGTCAACGAGCCCGATTTTCATCCTTCAACTGAAAAACCAGATATAACATGTCCCTCAACGGTTAGAATAAGTGCAGATGAGGTCCCTTGACGGTTTGGACGGCGGTTTTAACTGACGTGGCTAATTTGACTTAGTCTTCATCTGATGTGGCATTGACGTAACGCTTACGTGGCAATTTGATCCAGAAAAATAAAAAAACTCATGGGACCCACATGTCAGTTTCACATAGAAATTAATTAAAAAATAGTGGCCCTCCTCTTCTTCCTCTCCGCTTCACTCGCTGCTCTCCTCTACTTCTACCGCACGCTCCCTTCCCTTGCCACGCCACCAACCATCCATCCCTTCCAAACCCAACTGAATTCAACCGCATCGCGGCTACATCGCGCGCGCGAGAGTGAGCATAACACGAACGGAAACCATCCGTGAAGCGGTAGCGGTGACATTAGCTTGGGTGGAACGGGGAGCACGAGGCGGTGGTGAGGGAGCTGACGCGCGGGCACGAGCTGACGGCGCGGCTGTGGGCGCTGCACGGGCAGGGGCAGGGGCAGGGGCAGGCTGAGGCCACCGCCACATTCATCCCCGGGGAGGTCTCCCGCGCCTTCACTGTCTGTCTCTCCATCATGGACAGCGCCTCCCCGTCTGCCTCGCCGCCGCGGCCGGATGAGACGACGTCGGCCGACTTTACCGTATCCGTGGTGCGCGGCGCCACCGCCACCACCACCGCGCGCGGCAAGAGAGGACAACGTCCCGCAAAAGTGAGTTATCCGCACGTACGTGCTATACTACTAGTAGCAAAAATAAATGCCGCAGAACTAGCTAATTAATCATTAATAAGATTAGCTGGGTTAAATTTGCTATAGGAATTGAGCACGAGTTCATCTGATTCATCCCGTGCATTGTTCCACAGGAGATTATTGACAGCCTCTCCTGGTCACCGTCAGGCCGGTCTGCCTCGTCAACGGCGACGGCGACGACGTCCTGGAGCACGGACGCGGCTGGGACGCCGTGCGTGTGCTCGCGTGGCTCGACGCAAAGCCCGCGCCGTCAGTGGTGTACGTCTGCTTCGGCCGCCTCACCCGGTTCCCGCACGAGCAGGTCGCAGAGCTCGGCATGGGGCTCGTGGACTCCGGCGTGAACTTCGTGCGTGTGGGTCGTCGGGGACAAGAACACGTTGGCGTCACTGTTCCCGGTGGAGCGCCAGCGCGTGACGCTGCTGGCCGGCGAGTCTGCGCTCCGGCTGCTGTAGCAGCCCATCTCCTCGCCAAACTCGCACGCTCGTTCACGGGTCTGCGCCGCAGGAGGTCGGCGAAGAGCGGCGCGAGGAGGTCGACGGTGACGGCGAAGGGCTCCGCGAGCTCGCGGCTAGGTAGGTCGTCGGCGCTCTTGTGCCCGCCCGTGAGCCCCGCAGCCTCGGCGGGCAAGGCGAGCGCGTGGACGCGGATCTGTCTCCCTCCTCTCCCGCCGGCCGCCGCGCGCTACTGCCTCTCCGTCGCGGGAGACGAGAGGGGAGAGAAGAGAGGGACAAAGGAGAAAGAAGTGGAGGGCTGAGGATGACAGGTGGGGCCCACGTGGGCCCCAGTATTTTTAAATTAATTTCTATGTGAAACTAGCATATGTGGGTCCCACGAGATTTATTATTTTTTCTAATTGAATTGCCATGTAAGCGACACGTCAATGCCACGTAGTCAAATTAGCCACGTAGACGTCACGTCAGTCAAAACCGCTGAGGGATCTCATCTGTACTGGTTTTGATAGTTGAGGGACCAGTTGTATCTGGTGTTTTACGGTTGAAGGACAAAAAAATCGAATTAGTTGACAAGTTAAGAGATCTTAAATGAACTTATTCCTTCACGGATTGAAAGCGCAAAGTGCTGAAGTCGTTGAGCCCATCTTCGCAAACAACCACCTCACATTGTGGGGGAGCGATGTTGTTGCTCTCATCGCTACTTTCACAGCCTTTGCCACGCGATTTCTTCGCCGTTCCCGTCGTCGCTTTTGGAAATTGTGATATCGTCCCGAGTTCGCTTTACCTCCTCGCGACGATGGTCAAAAAAACTTTTACGTCTCGTATATTTCTAAGAAAAAAAATTGAACAACATATTTTCAATTTTTTTCCATTACGCTCTACTAGAGTCGATCTATATTGAGGGAGTTATAGTGGACTTTTCCTTCACGTTGATGTCCTCCTGTCTCAACGTGATCGCCTAGCCTGTGAATCAGTGGCCGGATGGTAATACGGTGGCCTGACCGGCCCATGGCAATTTGGCATGGCAATTAGCTGCACAGCCCAAGGTATTGACGGACCTGAGCTGTGACGGACCACCACCACGGCCCCTGTTAGCTTGAGGCCAGATGCAGCCCAACTCGTGCAAAGAATACAAATAGGTCACCGTAATACTCCTTCCATTCCTGTAAAATATATTCCCTCACCATTGACATTTTTTTTAACAAGTTTGACTGTTCGTCTTATTTAAAAACTTTTGTGAAATATATAAAACTATATTTTTACATAAAATTATATTTAACAATGAATCAAATGATAGTTACTTAAAACTTTTGAATAAAACGAACGGTCAAACATGTTTAAAAAAGTCAACAGCGTCAAATATTTAGGGACGGAGGGAGTAGGACGCAAATAGTACTATCACAAAGACCAAATAAGCATTATTATCACTTTCTCGTTTAACTCACTCTAATACTGCCTCCGTCCCAAGTTAGTGGTCGCTTTGACTTTTTTATTGCAACGTTTGACCATTCGTCTTATTTGAAAAATTAGTGCAAATGTAAAAAATGATAAGTTATGCTTAAATTGCTTTTGATAATAAAGCAAGTCACAATCAAAGTAAATAATAATTTTATAATTTTTTGAATAAGACGAATGATCAAAATTTACAAACAAAAACTCAAAGCGACAAGTATTTTAGAACGGATGTAGTAAATACAATGATATATATAATAGGATTAAATATCTTGAGAGTGGATGATTGTAACGCTCCGCTTTTCGTGAGTCGTTAAAAACTATTTCGGCAAAATCCTAATTGCGAAAATTTTCATTCTTTGTGTGCGAGTCTAGGTTGTGCCAAGGACCTCAATTCAAATCCCGTTGTTCCCTCTCATCGCCATCAAAATCGTCCACCTCAAGATTCCAAATCCAACTCAAGTCTCCGAAATTCAATCACATCCCTTGAATCCCCGCCAAATACCTATCCCCATTTCCGAAAATATCAAATCCCCATCTCGAATCATTTCCTTGAGTCTCCCTTGATTCATCCCTAAACCCTCGAATTTGAATATCAAATTTGAATTCGAATCCAAACCCTAAATCTCTCCATTTCTCTCCAAATCAATCTCCTCCGAAAAAGTCTATTTTGCCCCCCCTGTCGATGGGCTGATTCCTCTCTCCCGGCCCATCCCCTCCTCTCGGCCCAGCTCTCTCGCGCGTGCGTCGCACGTGTTCGGGAGCGAGAGACAGCGCCGTCTCCCTTCCTTCTCTCTCTCCCGGCGTCGCTTCCCGCCGACGCCGCTCCCAACGCCTTCGCCTTTCCCGCGGGCGCTCGCGTGGAGGCCGACCACCCGGTCGTCGCCTGCCTCGCGTGACCGCCGTTCCGCGACCCGCCTGCCCGCCGCCCTAAACGGAAGGGACGAGTTCCCCTTTCCACCGCCCTCTTCGCCTTTTTCCCCCTCGGGCTCAACCGCTCGCTCCCTCGCCCTTGTCCGCTTGCGCTCGGAGGCAGAGCCGCTGATGGCAGCCGTCAGCTCGCCGCCCCCACCTTGACCCAGCGCCAGCTCGCCCCGCGCCAGCCGGCGCTGCTCCTCCCGCTCCCGCGGTTCAATTTCCACCGCACGATCCACCGCCTTCGCCGCCCAACACATCCACGCCGTTCGCCGGATTCCGCCGCGCGCCGTCAGCCGCCCGATGCGCCGCCGGCCTCCCTCTCCCTCCTTCAACTTTTCTCGAAACAGCAAGGAGCAGAGCTCCCTTTCTCCCCCTTCCTTTTTCCTTTTGCCCGACCACCATCGGCGTCACCGCCTGCCACCGCCTGGACCACGGGCGCGACCGCCAGCTCCTCCCCTTGACCGCCCTAAGTCGGTTTCCTCCCCCAAAACCGACTTCCAGCACCCATAAAACCCAGGCCGAGCCTCCCTATCTCATTCTCTCTCGGCATCTCTCTTCCACCGCCGCCGTGCCCTTGTTGCCGCCTTGCAGCTGCCGACCTCGCCTCC